CTACCTACTACTACCTACTACCTACTACTACCTACTACCTACTACCTGCTACCTACTACCTTGTACCTGCTACCTACTACCTACTACCGACGACGACTACGACTACGACTACGATGGCTCCCTAAGCCGATAATTCAGGGGGAGTGGACCTCATGAGTGGTATCTCATACCTTCTTGACCTTGTTGACCCTCTATGTGGGGGGGGGGCAGATTAATCCGGGGTTGACATTATACCTACCTTGACCCCTGAAACCACCCCAATGTAGTTATATTATGCTAGTCCCATGGAGTGTCTGGGTAAGGAACAGTGAACAGTGGCTGATTTTGTTGGGTGAACTTTTTCCAATCACAGAAAGTACCCACACCGTTGCGAGATAGAACCACCAGTTTGCAGTTTCCAGGTCGGGGGCTTGTATGTGTTTCTTACTTCTTTTGGATTGGATGGACTGTTTGGGAATGTTTGGGAAATATAGCTGGTCGGTCATGATAACCATAGAAAACCAACACCATCAAGTAGCACCAATATTTCCTGTATGGAGTAGAGACAAAACAAACACCAACACCACTTCCTTGACCATTCCTACCATCGCCATCCCGAAAACGGGTCGACCAGCTCCGCACACCCCGCACACTCGGTGACACGGTGAAACATGCCGACCGGTTCCCACACTGTGAAGCCGAACGAATGGAGCCACGACGAAGCCGAGCCACATTGACGTCATTCAGGAGCCATCGACGTCATTCGGATGCCATGCAGAAATGGTGTCGGTTCTGTGACAAAACGTTGATATGTTCTGCCAAGAAAGTGTGTGATGGTCGGCCAGGCGGCAAGGCTACTGCTGTCGCCACAAAACGGGCTAAAAGACCGGCTGCAACAGGCGATGGTTGGGCAGCTGCACAAGACTTTGTCCCAAGAGTCGTTTCCTTTGTATATCTTTGTATATGACTAATTATACACACCGAATTAGAATCTGAGTGTCCCGTGGTGGTTTGGAGCCAGAACATGGTCTTTTCAATTTTAAAGAAAACGGTCAACATGGTTTGTATGGTTTGTAAGAAAACGGTCAACATGGTTTGTACGTAATAGATCGAGCTATTCAGGTACCTCTCGTGCCAACCATTAGGCCTATGGTACAACCGCAATAATCCTGGGCAGAGTAATGCGACGTCATGGTTGTGGAACATAGAAGATGCATGAGCATGAACCTTCATGAATCGGCTGGTCCAAACTCGGGCTACAGTTGTACCTTGATACCAGCGGAGGGTCACTCGCACAGGCAAAAAGAGCCATGTGAGGCTGATCTCGCCATAGTTCATATGAATCTGCCCAGGTCATCCTATCTTGAAAGCCTTCCTGGGCGACATGATTTGTCGCCGACGGGAGGATTTTCCCTGACGAGGACCCTCGTTTGAAGATCTCGTCTCGTGGTGGAACCGAAAAACATGAAGACCACCATGGGGCGGAGAGGCCGCAAGCTTCACACATCCGCAGCTTTGTGTGAGACGTGGATCAATGACCCCATGTTGGAAGTTGGAAGGAGTGAACGTTTCGAGTGAATGTTGACAATGCTGTTCCGGTGGTGGTTTCCGGTATCCTTGTGAAGTTTCAGGATACCATGCACTATCCAGAACATCCACTCCTCTAAAAGAAAGCAACTGAGAGAAACTCTTGGAACCTGTTCTTTGTTTGTTTGTAAACCCGATCAGGAATCGGTGGTTGCCTGCAAGTGCAACATGGAATTCCGCTGGATGGCTCTCACAGCGCCATCTAGGCACGGTACTGCCTGCGATGTTTGAAGCTTGAGGCTCCTAACTTCCCTGCTCAGGAACACCTGCAGGGGCCGCAAGACCGGCCGCAGGGGCAGAAAACCACACCTTTTCATCAGTCGAAGCGAAACTATGGATGAACGGCTACGGAAACATGTTTGCAAGACGTTTCCTACGGCTACTGGTCGCTATCACACACTTCGTGTCCAACTAGAGACGGCATGGAAAGAGCCCGCAGGGGCTCGATGAAACGTGCGATTCCACAGCCGGCAAAACATGGAGGACTCTATTCTAACGCCTCCAACCTGAATGTATTGTCAAACGCAAAAATGCCACAAGCAAAACGTTGAGCTTCATGCCCCCTGCCGATTTTTGGGCAACCTCCCCTCCAACAACCATGAAAGTGGGACATGGGTGCCACAGAAGGCCACATAGCGGCCTTCATACCAACTACATATGATATAATATGATACAGTATATATGGTTCTCTTAAGACTTTAGGCCACCATCATTCCTTTTGGACCAGCCCCACTCACAGAAACCTGAATCTGGCATCTTCACATGCGGATGGCGCGGCCCGCCCGACCTGGCCTGTGGGGATTTCGATCTCTTTCGAGAGGCCCACTGTCACGCCAGGAGCCTCCAACAGGGGGCCCTTTCTGAACCCTCAGTTTGGGCCCTGTTTCCCTCTGTGTAGTTATACCGCCAAACACTCCGTGGATGGAATATTTATGTACCTGTCCCCTGAAACCACCCCAATACAGGTAAGTGTACCAAACATGGAGTGTATGAGTCCTCATCCTGGTGGAGGGCCTGGTGCAAGTGCAGGACAATCAGAGTTGACCGGGAGGAGAAAGTCTATAACACAAACCTACCACCACAAGAAAACCAACAGTTCCGATGGTCTTTGAAATGTTGCAAATCCTAGCTACTTCAGGATCATGATAGTCCTTCGTGTGATCTACAACAATCGACAATGTTCACGCCAACTTAATGCCTAACTTTGGTGCAGCACCGTAGCAAGATCAATCCAATGTCTCGATGTTCTCCTTAGAAATGTCGAAAGGTTCCTAAGGAGCAATTCCTGAAGACATCAAAACTTGGATGAGAGAAACCACCTGACTTGGCTACTCCCTCAATAGTTGAACATATATTTGGCTCGTCGTTCCATTTGCTCAAGTCCTCAAGACATAATAACACTCCGAATGCCTCCTCCTTTCTGGTCTTCTTGCAAGTGCACATACTTTTTGTAATAGATGTATAATCCGACATCATGAGCATACGGAAGACCAGAAAGTAGGAT